TCATGTTCTGCCATCCATTTATGTATGCTCTTTAGGTAGATTATTCCATTTATGCTGTTTGCTTTCAGTATATACTTATGCACCCCTTTCCTTATTATGTCTCTTAGATATTTGCACTATCTCTTTTTATCATACCGTTCCCATATTCCTTAGAACTTCCTTGTTGCTCACATGCTCCGCCTATGGTATTTTCAGCATCCTTCAGTAGAACCAAACCTCCGTCGCCTCAAATATACTCTTCATCTACGAGGAAATTCCCATTATTTACTGCCGCATATTACATAACATTTGAGCATACTTATTTCTCTTTCTAACGAAATTCTTTTTGTTTTTTAATATTTTGTTTAGTTTTCTTAAAAGGATCTTTAGGTATTCCAATGCAATTTTGGATTTTGGTGTCACTTGTTCTATTATCTGTTATGGTTAAATTTCTGTATTCACTTGATTTGAACGTTTGTTCCTAGTAAATGTTCTGACCTCAAGGAACATGGCATTAGATATTTTAAAGACCTTTGGCAATGTGTGGCACAAATGATTGCTGCTCATGCTATTGTGGGAGGTCTGTATTGTTGATGTTACCAAAGTAGAGGTTATTAGTTGACAGGTGGTTATCTTCGGATAATCCAAATATACACCAATTTATGGCCTTTCAAAAATCCATGCAAAAATAATTAATACAAAGATATATATTGCATGTACTGATAAAAATGTATATCTCTTAAAATAAAATATACAGTATTTAAAGAGTTCATAAGTTCCTATCAGAAAGTTTTCGTGTTGAATGTTTAATATATATATAGAGAAAGAGTCCTTGTAAATGTCTGTGTGTGTATGTATGTATTTCTTGATTGTAGTAATCCTTTCGTCTCTCTGTAGGATTTTTAGGTGTCCGAATTTTTATTTCACCGGCTATTTCGTTTGCCTGGTCGTCGTCACTCTCTTTTTTTTTTTTGTTTTGTTTTTTTTTTCACTTTTTCGAGACAGTGAATTAATTCCAGAATTGTTTCTTGATTTTTGATTGGTTCACAGATTGGTCAGACGTCTTGACTAACCCTTTTCCTTCCCTATATTTAGGAATGAAAACCTTTTGGCCTCTTATTTATTTTTATTTTTGTTTCTTTATGGCACACCAAAATGTTTAGTTTTCTATTTTTTTAATTTTTTTATCACTACACTCTCTCTATCTATGAAATCACTGGGCGATTCTTCTCAATAATAAAGTCCTTCCTAAAGGGTAGGTCCCTGAAGGTAGTTGTTAACGGTTCCGGGGCCCTAGCAATCATCGCACGCCCACCCACGCCAGTGGTCGCTTCTCGAGCCAACTCTTTTTTTACTTTACGTAAATGATCTGATCATTTGTGATTATATATGCAAATAATACAATGGTATATGGGTACACATCTAAAAGTCGAGACGACCAGAGACTGGCAGATGATCTCTCCTCCGATGTCACTGTAACATCACAATGGGAGCAAAACTGACTGGTTAGATTCAATTCTTTGTAAACCAGATTAGTCATATTCCATCATCGCCGATTGAAACGTCAACTACCAGCAGTCAGCGATGAATGGATATTCTTTCATGGAGGCTCCGTGCCTTGAGCGACTATTGGGCCTCAAACTCAACCTAGAGCTCAAGTGGGACGACCCATCGCTAAAACTGCAGGAAAAATGGACAGTTACATGTACCCGCTTTAGTAATTACCTGACTCCTCGTGCTATCCTCTATCCTCTAGATCAGGCCTAAAATGAAGTACTGTTGTCATATTTGAACAGGAACTTGCCAGTTTTCACTTTCCAATCCCGATAGAGTCCAAAAGCATTTCCGCCTCCTTGTGGGTGAAAAATTATTTTCCACACTACAACTCCTCTCCCAAGATGTGGCAAGCGTCTCACTGCTCTATCGCTACTTTCACGGAAAGTGCTCAGTTCTAACCTTCAGGGCTAGGACTCAGTATGCTATGCACATTGTAGCGAACCCTCCTCATTCCCTCCGTATTCCATTAGTGAGATCAAAGCACCACTCGAGCAGCTTCTTTCCTCGAACCATTGCTCTGTGGAACCGACTCCACAGAGAATGTTTTCCTGATCACTACCATCGTCAAGGGTCTAGGGTTAATTCAAGTTTAAGGTTAACTGTTATCTGTGCCTCTTACTCTGTAACCCTTTACCTTGAGTAGCTCCCGGGCCTTGTACAGGTTGAACCTCACTGTAAAAAAGTCTTTCCAATCACATTTTGTTAACAGTTCAAACAGATATTTGTGTCGTGCCTTATCAAATACCTTTTCTTAGTCTATAAAACATAAGTATACGTCTTTTTGTATTACTCATTTTCAAAGCATTTTAATAAAAAAGATTGCATTTCTGTTCCAATGACTTTAACGAAGTCACATTGTTTTATATACCAGATTCTTAAAAATAACGCTTTGACCGTCGTTTTTGCTCTGTTTAATCACAAGAAATAATATTAGAATTTTTATAGATAGATTTTATTATGAAAGTCACCGTTTTCACAATAACAATATTTACCAACTATTGTTGGATATGAGCAATATATCGTGCAATATATAGTGAGCGATATCTCTAACGAATTTTAGTTTATAATATCTATCCTTATTAAAATTATAAATAATAACATATTTTAGAGGTCTTATTTTTTATACAAAATGCAACATAGATTTTAATTCATAATTATTTTTATCTATAAATAACTTTAGTGTAGAAATTATATTTGATTAATCTTATATATAAAGTACAGGGTGTGTGTGTGTCCAAGCAACTCCTTCACTCCCACTGGTCCGATTTCAATGATTCATAGCTCATTCAAAAGCCCTAGGAAAGTTAAGCACAGGGAACGATTTTTGTGATGAATTCAATGTTGCCAGTTTATGCGAGGTTAAAAATATATATTAACATAATATACTAAACATTATCGTTGCATTCATGGTTCAAAAATGATTGCTGCATTTAAGTATTGAATTAATGTTTAATCTTAACTTTTGAAAGTTCAGCGATAATTCTTCAGCTGCCACTTAAAGACAATGATGTATGTAGATCCTTATTTTCCGTTCAAACAATTATTTTTATTTCCTGAGTGTCAGAGCAGGGGACGATTTATAAGATAAAAATGATATAGTGTTAAGATGGGAAAACAGAAATTAGAATTCGTTATACATTCAACCTTTCAAGAGTTAGAGAAACATAATAGTTAATTACGTAAAGCCTATATTATGGAATCTATATTAATAAATGCGAAACTGGAATTCAGTTCTCTCACAAATTCTGAGATCAAAAAGTTGCAGCGCTAATTTATAGTAATTTACACGGTGTTTACTCGTTCCCCCACCAGAACGAGATGTGAAACAAGGTCGTTTTAAAGTAGGGACACGAGCGCGTACACTCGGGCAAGGGACAAAAATTCACCACAGCCCCCGCAACCATCGGTCGTGCTTGCTTCGGTGCGAGCACCGATCCCTCACTCTGGGGCAATGGTAGGGCGCGGTCTCGGGCAGTTGTTCCCCAAGGCTGGAGACATCTCAGTATAATTTTCACAGTTGCCCCTCTTTCCTTTGAGAGAGAAGAACCTGAGTGCACTCTGTCCAAGGACAGAGACGCAACTGAGAGATGATAAATAAAGAGTATAAATTACTCATAGTAATTTAAACGGCAAGGGCTCAATATCTGTATTATATATTATCTACTTGTATGCAATATCACTCTTCAGGTTTAACTACTTTGGATAAAAAAGTTTATTTCATTAATTCACTGTCCTTCATTACTGTTCTTTTATTCGAGGATTGTTTTGATTTTCATATCAAAAATAGGCCTGTTTAGGAATATCGTCTTATATAGTGCAGAAAAGTGTTTGAAATTTTCATGGTATTGGCCTTCAACAAGTTAGCATTTATTTGTAAAACTTTCCTTAACTATAGTAAGCCAATTTAAAATTTTTGTTTCAAAGATTTCAAGTATTGAATATATCTTATTTTGCGAAGCGATAGCGAGCGGGTGAAGCCTTCTAGTACAATATAAAATTATTTTTTTTTATTATTTTATGTATTAATCCATAATGGCATTCTATAACTTACATCCGTCATTTCTTTGACTTGACTTGATTTGTATCGGTTTTCACCCTGGTCGGGTTGAACCGGCTTCCTCCCGAGTAAGTACAGCATCACGGACCATCGCTGCCCACGCTCGCTGATCCTGAGCCAGATCACACGAAATGGCGAGACAATCACGATTCCATCGTCGAAGACCAGCTACTTGTGGACCCGATAGTACTGCTAGGTCATCCTTGATTGTGCTAGCTCACGTCCTCAGCTGCCCACCGACACGTTTTCGCCAGCCAGGAAGAGAAGGAGGGAGAAGTACATCGCGGATGTGCTCTCCCTCCGGGCGTCGAGCTTCGTTTTCGAACCATCGGAGACGACGCTGGAGAAGGACGGGTGGAAGAGGACGGAGACTCAGGCGACGACGTAGAGTGGCTGCGGGCACACGATCGATCCGGCGGCATCGTAGAATGCAGCGAAGGCAATCGTTGTCGAACACTTCAAGCCTTCGTAGGTCAACCGCTCTAAGTGGCCACGTTTCGCAGCCATAGAGAAGGATAGTCCGAACAATAGCCTGATAGATGCGCTCCTTCGTAGCCGTGGAAATCTCCCGTCGCCCCCATAGTGATCGCTTGAGACGCACGAATGCGGACCTTGCAGCTCCTATACAGCATTCAACCTCAGCAGCAGCCTGCCCGGATGGTATAATTGTTGAACCGAGATAGACGAAAGGCTGCACGTCCTCCTGATTGACCCCGTCCAGCGTCAGTTGTTGCCAGTTGACTGGATCAACCAGGGACGGCATAGCTTTTGTCTTCGAGGCATTGATGATCATACCCATATCCCGTGCTTCAGCTTGCACACGGTTCAGCACAGCTTGCACATCGTCACAGTTTGATCCGACCAAGACCCCGTAGGCCAGATCAGACACCCTGACATTCCGACCAACCGCAACTTCAGCGTAGTCCCGAAGGGCCTTGCCGAGGATGTAGTCGATTGTATAGTTGAATAGGGTAGGGGATAGGGCACACCCTTGCCGCACACTAGTCTTCACCTCAAACTCCTCACCATAAGCACGAACACGGGCTCGCGTCAACCGGTAGTAGCCTCTGATGAGACGAAGGAGTTTAGCAGGCATGCTATCGGCCTCCATGATACGCCAGAGTGAGCCTCAATCAACGGAGTCGAAAGCAGCCGAAAGTCGACGAAGCAGAGGACTGTTGGTTGTTGGTAAGCCCAGTGTTGCCTGGGCGGAAGCCACTCTGTGACGGGCGAGTTCGCAGATCACGGGTGCCTTGAAATCTTCGCAGGAGAAGCACTGCAAATACTTTGGCCACCACGTCGATGAGGCTGATTCCTCTGTAGTTCGAGCAGAGTCTCCTATGACCCTTTTTGAAAAAAGGCAGTAGGATGACCTCGCTCCAATCGGCAGGGTTGGTCTCAGAGAGCCAGACTGCATTGAAGACACGATCCGTCATTTCTGTTTGTTGATTTCTTAATTCATCTCCTGTTTTGATTTTAATGTTAACTTGTTGCAATTTTTCATGATTTCCAGAGATTTTCTTTGCTTGAATATTGTTTTTCTCTTTCACATGCATCTCTTGTAAAGATGGACCATGTGTTTTCTGTTGGGATAATATCTAGATAGACTGAACGACATTCCATTAATTTGGTGTCTTTGAAACTTTTTTGCAAGCTGGGCAATAGTCAGAGAGGGTAATAATAATAATTATTATTATTTTAGTCATATTATCTTGTGTGTGCCATCCATAGGTCTCAAGAGACCATGGCTCTGCGCTCAAAAAGTTATGCCTCAGTTGCTGGTGGTGACGCAGTATTATTTATGGCTGTACAGGCCACACGGGAGTGACAGTTTCATTTGCAACCAATGCATGTGAAGGCACTCCCCTCCGATATCGCTGTTTTTTTCTTTCCTTCGAGCACGGTAAGCATCGGTTTCTTCTTCCCTCGCTCCAGGCCTCACTTGTCAACTTTGCCTTTTCTACTCTCATTTATTTTTTTTAATCAATTGTTTAGTTTAGGTGTTAGTTTAGTCAAAAAGACAATATATATTATTTTTAATGATATAAATTTCATAATCTCCGAATATTTCAGGTCTAAATCCCTAAATATATTTTTATTTTTGCTACCTTTTTTCAGTTATGAAACTTTTTTTTATCTTTACGTTTGTTTATTTATGCACAGCAATTTTGTAATTTTTCTTGCTTTTATGTGTTTTTTTTTTTTAAAAGAAAGGTTAATTTGGAGCTTCTAAAAACGGAATGTTTGTAATTTTCATATATGTACATTTTAATATACAATACATTATAGATATAAATATGCTCTATTTATAATAAATAGTATTAACATTTACCAGCCTGTATGTCCGAAAAATTTCATAGAAAATTTGTGTCCTCCGACAGTAATTGAACCTGTATCCTACACGAAACCGTCATATAGTCTGGCGTGCTATACCATTTAGCCACAGAAGAATCGTCTGCTTAGCACGGTCAAATTTCTCGGACATTGAAGCCGGTAAATGTAGTTAATACTGTTTATTATAAAAACAGAGTATTTACTTAAATATTTGTATCTATATTATATATTATAACGTATAAACAGAAAATATATTACAATAATTGTCGGACTTAGTCGGACAATTTTTCATATATATATATATATATATATATATATATATATATATGTATGTGTGTGTGTGTGTGTGTGAGAACATTATATGTTTCAAAGATTGTCATAGCCACTACCAGCTACGGCAATGGGGACAAGAACCATGCAAAATGGAAAAAGAACGAAGAATTCAACCCTTTTTTTGTCGCAAGCTGAAGTGTGTGCGCTAAACAGACTGAACATTGACGTAGCACCTCTACAGGAAACGTGAATTTCGGACAATGGATCTCTAAAAGAGGAACACTATATCTTCTTCTGGCGGGGGAGAGAAGTCGATGAATGCAAGGAACACGAAGATATAAATGAACAGAGATAATTCTTATCCTTCACCTCTCTATATATGAAGTCCTTGTAAACCTTGTGGACCAACACTCCATGCAGCATCCGAAGTCAAAGGCCAGTTCTACGCTTAGCGACCTCAAGCATATGACATATTTGGCTTCTAGAAGACTTCAATGTTATGGAAAGAAGGTACACAAGAGCAAAAACTGTTTTGAGAGTAACTACTCGACATTAAAGCCAGTCATCAACGCTAAGCACAGCGCTTGGATTATATTTCAAACGTGACCTAGTCAGCATATTTTGCAGATTATAAAAGATGCTTGCAGCAAATCCCAGCAAACGGCATACCGCTGTGCAAATAACCACTTGCTTCAACTGTCAGATAGCATCCAACATTCTTCGGACACCAGCATCACCCGGAATCATTAAACGAATGTCATTATACAACAAATAATGATATTTTATTGTTACAAAATAACCGTGACACGCTACCGAAATAACACATTCTGAACAAAATTTAGAGCTATCCTCACTATATAGCAAAATATTTGTTGCCCTGGCTTTAAGCGTCATAACAAAAATAATCCCATAATTTCTGTCATTAATGAACAAGAATATAACTTAGAGATGCATATAGGTGTAGCTGGTAATAATGTCATCAGCATATTAAAATTCTGTCCTGCTCTTTCTGATCGCTCTTTGATGCTTGTTCTATCAGAAATAATAAATAGTGACACGAGTAATAAATGGCAAAGAAAGGAACAATAACTACACCGGGCCGTTCACATTTTTTTGCCCGAACAGAAGTTGCAAATGTATAACAATAAATTAAATAAAATCATATAAGTATATAACTTTTATACTAGTAGTGCAGAAATTATCCCAAATCCAAAGATAATACATAAGATTTTAATAACAATGAAACGAGAGAAAATGACAAAGCTTAAAGAAACCTTTTGAAGATATTCTTTCTAGTCTCCAAAAACCTGACATTCAAAATGGAAATCTTATATTAATACTGACATGAGCAAACAAAACAGTATGTAGGGCTGGGTAATGTAGAAGTGATCATTAGTGGACAATACTGGGACGAATATCAAAACTGCAGTGTTGACATCTAACGAAGAAACGTTTGACGAGCTTTGCTCAACCATAGTGATTTTTTCCTGTGAACACCTGTTGCAACTATAGCATTAGTATTAATAATTAATCTATCAAGTCCGGCTGGGTTGGAGGTGGTATTTCAAAAGAAACCAATAAGACTGTCTTCGTTAAAATAAACTGTTGAAGGATAATCTAGAGGATTTGTGCAAAAGTGTATCAATGTCAAAATTATCAAAGTAATCTGTTTCACATTTTGCAAACGTTCCTATAACATTTGTTATTTTCATCATGAATCTATTATTTTTTAACTACACAGTAATCGTTAAAATTTAAGAAAATATTTTAAGCAATCTAATATTTTATTGACTTTTAGGAAATTTGACTTTATAACATTACGAAAATTTTGTTGAGAAAATGTTAGAAAATTACCAGTAAATTTTTAATTCTTTTAAAGATACCTGTAGTGATACTAAATACAGGGAGAACCGGATGTTAATCCTAAGACGTTCAAATGTCATAAACTGGTCTGTGCGCATTTGTTCCGGTTAAAAATGAATAAATCTAATAAATAATAATAATAATAATAAAAACAAAAAAATAGCGTTCGCCCCAAAACAATAAATTATTTTGGTTGAGATTTTTTGATCCCCCAAAACAAGTATAAAGAAACATCGTTTTCAATCAAAACGCAGAGGGGAAAACAGACTCCAAAGTGGGCAGACCACATCAAAGGAATCTCAACTTCAGTGACCGCTTACCTCTCTCATCCCCTGCACCCTCTTACCCCTCTCATCCCCTGCACCCTCTTACCTATGTCGCCTCCTGCACCCTCTTACCTCTCTCACCTCCTGCGCCCTCTTACCTCTGTCACCTCCTGCACCCTCTTACCTCTCTCACCCTCTGCACCCTCTTACCTCTCTCACCCTCTGCACCCTCTTACCTCTGTCGCCTCCTGCACCCTCTTACCTCTCTCACCCCCTGCACCCTCTTACCTCTGTCGCCTCCTGCATCCTCTTACCTCCCTTACCCCCTGCACCCTTTTACCTCTGTCGCCTCCTGCACCCTCTTATCTCTCTCACCCCCTGCACCTCTCTCATCCCCTGCACCCTCTCACTTCTCTCACCCCTGCACCCTCTTACCTCGGTCGCCTCCTGCACCCTCTTATCTCTCTCACCCACTGCATCCTCTTACCTCTGTCACCTCCTGCACCCTCTTACCTCTGACGCCTCCTGCACCCTCTTGCCTCTGTCACCTCCTGCACCCTCTTACCTCTCTCACCCTCTGCACCCTTTTACCTCTGTCGCCTCCTGCACCCTCTTACCTCTCTCATCCCCTGCACCCTCTCACCTCTTTCAACCCCTGTACCCTTTTACCTCTGTCGCCTCCTGCACCCTCTCACCTCTTTCAACCCCTGCACCCTCTTACCTCTGTCGCCTCCTGCACCCTCTTACCTCTCTCACCCCCTGCACCCTCTTACCTCTGTCGCCTCCTGCACCCTCTTACCTCTCTCACCCTCTGCACCCTCTTACCTCTGTAGCCTCCTGCACCCTCTTACCTCTGTTGCCTCCTGCACCCTCTTATCTCTCACCCCTGCATCCTCTTACCTCTCTCATCCCCTGCACCCTCTTACCTCTGTCGCCTCCTGCACCTTCTTACCTCTCTCACCTCCTGCACCCTCTTACCTCTCTCACCCTCTGCACCCTCTTACCTCTGTCGCCTCCTGCACCCTCTTACCTCTCTCATCCCCTGCACCCTCTCAACTCTTTCAACCCCTGCACCCTCTTACCTCTGTCGCCTCCTGCACCCTCTTACCTCTCTCACCCTCTGCACCCTCTTACCTCTCTCACCTCCTCACACATCAACCCAAAGAAGAACTCACATTAAAGGACACTTAAGTACTTTTCAAAAATTTTATATTATCTTAAACTTAATTTTTTTAACTCGTCTCTTTAATTAGATTTTGTTTCCATATACATTCATCCTTCAAAGAACATTTACCACTGACTTTAACAATTTGTATTTTAAAATATAAAACTTTTGTTGTTTATAATGCTTGATTTATTTTTATTTCATATCTATTCTATTGTGTGGATTAATCTATTCAAGGCCTAAACCCCAACCAAAAAGTATCCCACAATATTTAATGTATGATAATGTCATGTATATTTACAAAAATCGACACGTTTATACACACACAAACACACACACACAATTGAAAGTTTTTTTGTTTTTTTTTAAATACTGGGAGTCTAAGCGAACTTTTCCATTTATAAATAAATATATTTTCGATCTAATAATATCACTTCACCGCTATGAATAAATACAGAATTTTAAAAGATTTGCAAGATTATAAATTATTCTAAAAAGAAACCAATTCTTGTAAAAATTCATTATTCATCATAAATCTTTCTTCATATTCTCCACAATATATTTTATTAATAAAGGCAATTAAAAACTTTTTTAATTGAAAAATGTTTTAATTTTATATTGCTTTTTTTATTTTACCATTCAGGGAAGCTACAAAATGTCCTTTTTATAACCTCGGAAATTTTGTTTAAAATCTTGTTTTTTGTTGTTTTTTTTGTTGTTTTTTTTACATAAATATATAAAATGAAAAGTTGATTTAACTACGCCAAGAAGATTAATGAAGGATGATAATGACGAGGAAACACATGAGTAATTTTAACAAAACAAGATAAGGAAATTATTCACGAATTTATACACACGAAGTAATGTCAGTAACTCTTTCTTTAAATCAGAATTCTTAACATTTGTAATTTTAATTTTGTCATGAAGAAGAAATGTTCATACAAGAGCAAATGATCTGACACAAAATAATATTAAGAACTGTTTAAGACGAAGGTAAGAGAGTTTGTTATTCACTGAAGGGATATGGTCTTCAAAAGTCGAAATACTTAATTTTCTTGGATTGTTGAGAGAAATTGTTTGAAGTGCCTGGTTAGATGCCGATAATATTGTTTGCGAGTAATATTGCACCTCAAAATGTTGCTCTCGTGATTACTGGCGCCTCTGTAATAGTGCATTAAATAAGTGCAAGGTCTCTATTCCTCTCCTCTTCAATCAATTTGAGGTATTAACATCTGATGATAAAGCTGAATGTTTCGCCCGGACATTCTCATTAAACTCTTGACTCATCTGGAGTATCCTTGCCTAACTTCCCACCTATAACTGAGTCTTTGTTGAGTGATGTGCATATAACCTATTCTATGGTTTCTGCTATCATCCCTAACCTGGATCGCCACAAAGCATGTGGACCTGACGGTATCCCTTGCATGAATTAAAAAAATATTACACTGGAAATTACTTCAATGCTGGTCGCGAGGAACTGAAACGAAACATTTCACATGATTTCACTCTTCTCATTAATTTAATTTTTCTCCTCATTTTATATCAGAAAGAATTTTGCGTTATACTCGAAAGGTTTACATCGGTTCAAAAACAATTTCATATAGGCTCGCGAATTTCTTTTTCTTCCTCAGCTCACGGGTTAATTTCTATGAAAGGCAAAAATCTCACATAGACTCGCGAATCTCTTTCTTTCTTCTTCTTCAGTCATCCAAATTTTTATATATATATATATATATATATATATATATATATATATATATATATATATAATCCTCTTTCGGTGTGGTTTTATGTAATTTTTGCACAGTAGCTATTTGTATTATTAAATTTCGAATAAGTATTTACATGAAGATTCAATATCTTTAAATTTATTTTTCTTCGTTACAAGTTCTTTGTTTCTTGATTGGAAAGTGATATTAGGAAAGTATTTATTAAAACAAAATATTTTAATACAGAAATCCAAATATGAAACAAAACACAAAAAAAACGCTACTTTATATAGTATGACATATAGAAGTGGAAAGACTATATTGAATCAATTGCTAGGTCAGCAGTTAGGAAAGTTGGTTCACTGTGTAGAGTTAGACAATTTTTCTCGCCAGAATCTATCTTAGACATTTTAAGTCTACCATTCGTCCTAGCTTTGAATATTGCTGCTACATCTAGTCTGGTGATCCTGCTATATATTTAGAGATTCTTGATTAAATCCAAGAAGAATCTGCACTGATCTGACATCTCAGCTTCAATCTCCCCCCACCCACCGCTGTAACGTAGCTTACGTGTGTCTTTTCTATAAATACGTTCATGGTAATTGTTCTGATGAACCTGTGGTACCTAATCTTTATGAATTTAAGCACAGTACTAGATTTTACAGCAACATATAACCATAAGTTCTATGCTAACAGTTTCTTCTATCGCACCTCTCATTTGTGGAACAGTCAACGTTTATCTTCAAAAAATTAAATGCAATGTCAATTGTTATCTTCTGTCTTCTTAATTATTGTTCTTTTATTTTCTTCTCACCTTAATAGTAGTTTTTTCTCATATTCCCTAACACTCTGTAACCTCTTGCATTTTAGTGTTCTTTATTGTCTTGCTTAGTGCTTAAAAACAAAAATAAATTTGTTCAGTTTAATAAAAATTCATCATAAATTACGTTGAGATACGGAATGGATAAGTGTTTTAAATCACATCCAAATCAATCCGTTGATATGTATATTTCATAATTTCATGTTTCAGAATCCAGCTGTTGCTAATAGCTTCATTTAAATATAACATACTATAATATGCGTCCTTAATATAAGATTATTTTATATACTGGTTATGAAAACCAAACATAGGTCAAAGAAAGAAGTGCTCTGGTCACCAAGATGATAGATAGACACTGGGTATTGAGTATTCAATCATTTGGTGTTCATCGTCACTTAAGCTGTAGACCACATTTGCAATGTCTCCGCCAAATATGTGAAAGTTTTTGTTGTTTGCTATGACACAGCTTGCAAAAGGAAAACGTGTCGACAGCAATAGTAACATAATTATTCGGTAAAATTCTGAATAATTCCCTGTATTTAATTTCCGAAGAAAAACGAGTCTTTATCGGATAATGTGTTTCTTCGCATCAATAAAACACTATCGTTTCTTTACTATCACTTGTCTTGAAAAAAAATGCATTCTTAAATTTCACAAACCGAATAACAAAAGCGAAATATAGTTGAATAACGAATTCGAATATATTTTTAAAATATAAATTAAATCCTATTTTATCACTACCGTGAAATGAAGCATAGGGGCATTTTGAAAAACTAATATTTCTAATATGCAAGCACATAATTTGCTTCTATTATGCGAGGATGACTCAATAAGCCTGCGGTCTGATACGTAGATATTTGAATTTTGATCTGAAAGTTTCACCGGATAAGGTTCGATTAAGATTCACTATTGAAGTGAAGATTATGTTGAAAAATATTTTTTGTGTAAAATAAATGCTTTTCCCCCATTAGGCTACAAACTAATTAATGGACGTATATGTGTGTGTGTAGCATCCGTTGGCCACGAGAGATCTGCGCCCAAAAAGTTATACCTCAGCTGCTGAGGCCCCAGCATCTGTTATGACTGTACAGGCTTATACGGGAGTGACAATCTCTATTGCAACGAATCCATATGAAAACACTTTAAACCTCCACCCCCGATGTTGTGTTGCTTTCTTTCCCCTAGATTACTATTCTCCCTGGCAGCAAGTCTCCGTTTCTTCTCTTCTCGCTCCAGTGTAAATCGTGTTTCCAGCCTGGGATATCGTTGGAGACGTCTTCCCCCTTCTCGATGTCGTTCTCGTGCCTTCTTGTCAGTTTCACGAATAGAAGGACCTACGGAATCCTCCCATCAGTAGACTTCCCATGTTGTGCCGTCGCGGTGAGAGGACGCTGGAGTTTTATGAAAGATCGTAGGTTGCCCATGCAGAACGTCTCCCCTCTCTATGCCACCGATGGGAAAGGTAGAGTCCAATACAGCTTCGCATCGGCGTCGTCGCAGGAGTTGACAGAACGAAGTTGAACATAACATCAGACAGTCTTAGGGACTCCGATTCCGGATTTGTCCTCGATGCTTACCCCCGAAGCCTTTTCCATAACTACATATACATATGTATATGTACTACTTTATAAAAGTTCCATGCAAATACATCTCAAGGACGATTGCATTAGATATATAGATATTTCAAAGGACTTTGACAAGGTCTCTAGCTAAGGAATCACTGGTAGAGTCTTATCGAGTCCCTAACAGCCAGTCTTCCAAGGCCCAAGTTATCAACGCAGACCTCCCCACCCCCAGGATCGCTTTTCGGTCAAACGCTCTACTTTGCATAAATGTAAAAGAGTATGCTCCGATCATTTATTTGAGAATATCTATGTTGATGATACAACGGCATATGGATCCACGTGTAACCTAGTTTTAACAGCTCAGTGTGGAAAAATTGCCTGATCATATTCAGTGCCTCAAAACCTAAACTAGTGACGTTTCATCACCACCTATCGGAGCCTGAATTTTCACCTATCGCAATAAACGGGTGCTTACTCAGTGAGTTTTACAAGAGCCAGATCAGGACGAAAATAGAGGAGCTGCTCAGTCTTCACTTTCCAATCTTGATAGAGTTCAAAAAGTATCTCCGCGTCGTTCAACCCCTTTCTTACAGGCGAAATATCGCAAACTTCTCGCTTTTTCCATGGAAGAATGTTCAGACGAACTATATTTCTTAGTTCCATCAGTTCTAACCTTCACGGCTAAAACTCGCCATGCCACTCACATTGTAGTGAGCCACCCTCATTGGTGAGATGTAAGTTCTACTCGAGCAGGTTCTTCTCACGAACCACTGCTTACTCGATCACTGCAACTTGGCCTGTTCCAGTCTAGATCAACTTTTATCTTCCTCACATATCTCCATAAGCAGTGCCTCTTATTCTGAAACCCCCTACCTCAAGTAGCTTTTTATACAGACTGAACATCATTGTAAAAAATGTCTG